GTTGGCTACTCAGATTTCAGTGCACGGCTTTTGTCGTTTGAGAGCAACCCACCTTGAAGCCTTTGAGAGAAAATTCCTAGCGAGGAGAAAGCCCTAACCACCCAGAGCCAGAGTAAATTGGGCATCACTTAAGTCTTCTTGTCTGAGTGATCTGAAGACTTATTACACTTGAGGACTGTGCATCCTCCAGACGGTTAGGCGTCATGTTCTGAGCATCCAAGAGACATTGTGGATTGCCAGTGAACGAAGTCTGTGAAGGTTTGGGAGTCTACATTGAAGACTTACCAGAGTGATTGGGCAAGGACTATGTGACCTTAGCTCAAGGAGAATACGGTGAGGACTTGGTGTCCTGAGCTGCGTGTTCAGGACTGGGTGTCCGTGACTGTGTGTCCTAAGGTTTAAATACCTAGCCGCTCCAACCGGACGTACAGTTGTCACAGCAACTGGAACTGGTCCAACACATCATTGTCTTCAACGAGTCACTGGTTTCATCTTCACTTCCTTTTACTTACTGTTACTCATTGTGAAGCCATTGCATGCTTGCTATATCTTTTGTCTTCACAACATAACTGTATGATTTGTTTGGCTTCATAACTTCTTCCTACCTGATCCTTATTACACTGCAGCTACTTGTCATTGTGCTTTAACTCTGTTGAATACTTGATCATGGCTTGCCTAGTGTAATCTAACTTCCGCTGCATAGTGATAGGCATATATCTACTGTTTGTCTTCATAACTTACACGTTTTGAAGACTTTCATAAAAATCGCCTATTCACCCCCCCCCCTCTAGTCGATATAACGCACTTTCAAGGTTCACCAATTCACGAAGGAAGGCCGATTTATGCTCATCTTGGGCAGCTCCATAGATTGCGACCAGGCTCCATGTAAAATTATCAGCTCTGTTTCGTAAGTGAAATTTCATATGAAATTCACCAGTCGAAAAAGCCAACAAGTCCATGGTGGTGGTCTGTATCCCAAGAAGGATTCCTCCAGACCTTCCACGAGCTGGCAGGCTATGCCACGTGTAGTCGAAACCACCTGATAGGTGATCAAGGACATGCGGGCGGAAGTCACATTTACCAGCCTCCGGAATTGCCACAAAATCCAACCCTTGTTCGCGCACACAATCACCGATGTGTTTATATTTAGCCAAGTCTGAGAGACCTCTGCTATTCCAAAACATGCCTCTCATGTGGAAACTCGGGTCGGTGTTGAACATTTCGCCTTCTTGGGCTGTTTTTGTTTCTTTTTAGAGGAATGCGATTTAGATTTTCACGAAGACGCTGTGAAGTCATAGAACATGGACCCATGTCTTGCGTCATCCAAACCAACCTCGGTAACCTCACCAACCAAGTGGGAGACAAGCGGACCATCATATTTGGCATCCGCTTCATCCTCATCCTCGGTTTCGGGGTTAGGTAGGGCACTATTACACTTTGGAGAAACCTTTAAACGGTCAATCTCCATATGTTTAAGTGCTCCAACCGAAAGATTAATTTCATTATCATTCTTTTCCATGGATATACCAAAAAATTTAAGGCTACAGGAAATACGAGTATCCGAAAATGAAAGAAAAGATTTAGCGGGCGAGGTACCTGGCGTGGAGTCCAAATTCCTCGAGGCTTGTCGTCGCATTGCCTTAGCTAGTGAATGTTCATCTGTCGAAGAGGAACCATCTGCGGAGACGGCGTGACGGTTACTATGCCGAAGCGGCGAAGCCAGCCCTCCAGACATAGTACCCATCGGTGTCTTCGGTCGAGCCGTTGGTGTTGGTTGCTACAAAATCGGCGGGCTCCGATCTGTCCCTAAGGACGGTGAAGAGGGACGTGCCGCAGGTCCCACCGGCACGATCGCCACTCGGACAATCCGCTAATGGACCGAGAGGAACCACAGCAACCGGAGCGGGAGCTGAAGAAGCATCCACGGGTGACATCTTGGAACCTTGCGCGCGGACCGGAGCAGGATCGTCAACATGCCCTGCTGGCGGTGCGCCCGTATCCACGACCGGCTGCACGAGCGCAGAAGATGCAGCACCGGCTGGCTGCACTACTGACGGTGCGCCCTCAACCATGACGTATTGGACTGAGCAACACCCCTTTCAGAATTTTTCCCATTTTTGTTCGCATCTTGATCAGGCAAAACATCATCTCAGTTAGCCCCGTGGTCTGGACCGTCATCATCGTGCTCCCAAATGCAAGGGATGAAATCATCTTCGGGTATGAAATCGTCCTCCTCAAGCACGAACCGAAGATTGTACCCGTTAAGCTTGACATAAACCCCAGCCGAGACCGAGGCAAGACCTGCACCATCTTCTTTTTTAAACATGTTTAAATTCAGAACCGCCACCTGGATGCGCACAATGCCACGACGGCGCAAGCATACCAAGTTAACATCCTGAGTAGCACCGATGACGGATCCCACTGCCCACAAACCAAGAAAGTGACAAAGTGGCGGTGGAACACCAGTTACATGTACCCAAACTGGCTTTAGCGGATTATAAGATGGTCTGACATCTGATTCTGATTTCCATTCACTGATGGCAATTACCACATCATGAGACTTGACTTTGAACTCAAAAGCAGCAACTCTCTCTAGAACCTCCATAGATGGGAAAGCAACCAGGAATGCATCATTGCCATGGGGAACGGCCTCCCACTTCCAAGGAGTTAGGACCGAGGAAATTTTTGCAATCTCAGTCTCCACAACAGCAGCTGTGACCGAACCTCCAGATATCTTTACCAGACCAGTCGGTGAGGATGGTGGTGCAAGGTGTTCCCTGAAAACCGAGTCCGGCAGGTGCACAAACATAGCCTCATTAAGACCAACACCCCCGAAAGATGCCATTGGCTTCGGCTGCTTCAACACAGAACAACGATGCAGAGGGTGCTTCAACACAGAACAACCTTGACAGGAGGCTGGCCACCCTTGTGAGACGGAGATGGCCCTTGGATGGCGGAGGAGCCTGGCCGGCCATGGAGGCGGAGGTCGGGGCACAGAGAACAGACGCGTACGAAGGCCTTGGCGGCGGACGGGAGCAGCGATCTGGAGGCGACTCGGAGACAGCAGGATGGTTCCATGCACCAACAGCACCTCCGTAGCATCGTTAGATCCGCGTCCTCCTCTCTTCTTGACAGCGGAGAAGTGATGGGAGGTCCTTCACCGTTTACTTACCATTGGATGAATATGCTACGGCGACGCCATCGTCATGTTCCAGCGTTGATGTTCATGTTGGTCTCTCGGTGTAGGGGGCGAGCGCCACGACCAGGATGAGACGAGCGCTAGTTGAGAGCAATTTGAATAAAATGGTGCAAATGACCACGACCTAGTAGCTCTGCTCCTCCTCCTCCTGAGCTCTCCAAGGTAGGGTGTAGAAGCGTAGTGAGGAAGCAGCTGCCTCAACCTACGTATCTTACTTAATGTGCAACGTGGACATTTTAGATTGGGTATTGGAGAATTGAGGGGCCCACCCCCCTGAAAATCGGGGGGGAGGGGGGGGGGATATTGTTAGGCTAGGCAGTTTACGTTACTTTTCGTAGCCTCGTTCGTAGATGGAGCATTATCGTCAAATTATTGTTGGAAAACTCTTCTCCAACACGTGCCATGCGTCCATGTGGGCCCGCTCCTTCCTTATCTCTTCCTATTCCTTGTCTCTTCATTCCACATGTGTCTTTTTCATATATTTTTGTTTTGTTTCGTCTTTCGTTTTCCTCCTTTCACACACATCTATAATTGGAAAACAACTGCAAATATATATTTTCTTTATAAACATATATCACATGATGGTCACTGGCTTTGTTGAGAAACCACGTGATGGCCGCATATATTTTCTTGATAGACATATATCACATGCAAGCTAGCATCAAGCTCATTCTGCACCACACACATGTACTCCCTAAGTATCAAAATATAAGACGTTTTTGTAGGCTAGTTTTACCAAAGAAGAACGTCTTATATTTTGATACAGAGGTAGTGTATATGTATAATCATGTGCGTGCAGTAGCTTGTTAATCATCATGACATGCCATCATAGGCATGCCATACACTCTGATTCGATTTCTACATACACCATGCCGACGTCGCAGCAATCATGCACAAAAAACAAGTTACTCCGACACATAAAACAAATGAGAAACAGTAGAGCAGGAAAAGATCAACGGTCCAACACATGCAGTCCCTCTGCGTTTGGGATTATCATAAACATTTCACAAGGCAAAGATAACCAACAAGAAAAGATTTACACATGCATTCTGCTCCATCGAAAACAAGGAAAACAAAAAACTTGCCAAACTTAGCTCAACTAGAGTCTACATCTGACAACCATATATCATCAACTCTGCAGCATAAACATAAGTTCCAAAAGTTCAAAACTGAGTTTTACCCGGTTCGAAACTCTTCCACGGCGGCTTAATAAACAGCTACGGTGCTCCTCCTCGCGCATGGTCGGTTATTTGGTCCGGTCCGGATAGCCATTCTTTCTGAAAATAGTAACACGGGACAACTGGCTTGGAACCGGGCAAAGCATCCCAAAGATGAACCATGTCTATATACATCCCAAAAATGAATTTATTTATTTTATTTTATTTTAAAAACATCTTTATTAAAAGGTTCATCAGAAGTACAAAGCACCCCAAGTACGATAAGCATTACAGCAAGGCCTCTGAAGGAGCCACAGTCGTCGATGAAGCCTTGAATCTGACACCAAGTAATCTCGTCTGCGCGTACGCATGAGTAGGAAACCATAACCTCGCCGTCTTAAGGAGCTGGCAGGAATCTACGTGGGGCGGACGGCGAACTTGAGAAGCCCGGAAGTCCGTACCCCGCAATCACAAGAACCGCATGGACAGTCGTTCATTATTACAAACTTTCTTTTTAGTATACTAGCAGCGGCGGCGGCGGCGGCGGAAGCCATGACGAAACGGAAATACGTAGATAGTACGTAGCACGTAGTAGTATTGTACGGTAGTATCGTCTCTGCTGCTGCTGCTGCTATACGGTACGCTCAGTGAGCATGGTTCGCAGCGAGGTGTGGCGCATGGCCGTGGGCGTCATGCCGGATGCTCCCCTCCGCGCACGTGCCTTTCTTCAAGTAGACGCATGGAGCGCCAGCTGCCTTGCTGCCCGCGGGTCGCTGAGGAGATTGCTTGTCCACAGCGTGCTGAAAACAAAAGAAAATAAGTTCCATTGTACACAAACTTTTCACAGCCATCTCGATTGAGTTTTTAGAAGATCAACGGAGTGGGAGGCGATGCGTACCTTGTTGAGGTCGGTGCTCCGGCGGTCGTCGCCGGCCATCGCATGGGAATCCATCGCCTATTAGCTCTCCTCCTCCTCCTGAGCTCTCCAAGGTAGGCTGTAGAAGCGTAGTGAGGAAGCAGCCTCAATTTATAGCTGGAAAGCTCTTCTTCGACACGTGCCACGCGTCTCTTCCCTTATCTCTTTCCTTCCTTCCGCACGTGTCTCTTTCTTTTTTTCCTCCTTCCACACAAGTCACTTCGAACAATTAAGACATTTTTTAAAGGAAAATGGTTACTATCTACCGACTAGTTTTGAATGTACAATGGTGCTATCTTAGAAGTGACACATAGGATAAATGATAAGGTGGAGGAGAGAGAACTCATAAGAAAAGACCTGTCTTCTCTTATTTAAGATAAGACAAGAGATGATCTCTTAGCACAATTTGTCTCACCATATTTTAAGGAATTACTAGTATTACAGATAAGGCTAAGATATAACCCATTGTAGACATATTTTTTTATCATCTCTAAATTGCATGCAAGACTTAAGATAAGGCTATCTTATCAACCATTGTACATGCCCTAAGCCCCCTCCCTCGCGGGCATGCCACGTGCCCCGCGCGCTGTGGCCCAACGCATCGCTGTCAAAAATAAGTAGCGTCTTGCATGTTCACATGGTGTTCAAGATTGTAAGCCCCCTCTCGAGGCGTCCAAAATGTCATGGTTTCATTGTGAGACCCGGCTCCGATAGAGGAGCGGCGACAACAACACATTGATACATTTAATGATTGTTCGATAGCCTTGAAATCTCCATGTAATTTTTATTATGTCTGAGATATTTTGTACTTTCAATGATCTTTTATAATAGATTTGATCTTTTTGTAAAAAGAAAAGGAGAGGGTATAGTAGGATGATGGATAGAATAAAACTGCATACAGAGTGCGCTTTTTTTTTCTCCTCTGGCTTTGTTGAGAGGCCACTGTTGAACCCATTTAAATTTCTTTACAAACACATCGCATGCAAAAGCTCTGAATACTGTGAGCTTGTAACTCCTCAGAGGTAATCACATGAAAAAATAACAAGGCAGGAAAAGATAGATCAAGGGTCCAACACATGCAGTTCCGCTGCATTTGGGATTACCATCATCGTTTCACAAAGCAAAAGATAACAAAAAGGGGAGATTTACACATGCATGCATACTGCTCCAGCCAGCCAAAACAAGGAAGAGAAAACAAAAAAAAAACTCTGTACACTGAGCTCAACTAGAGTCTACAGCTAACATCCATCCATATATCATCAACTCCGCAGCAAGGCCTTACGCGTCCGGCCGCAGGATATGTAAATACAAGTTTCAAAATTCAAAATTTTAGTTTGCCCAGTTCAAAGTTCATCCAACTGTCGCCTGGGATGCGCCTCATCAAGCCCTCTCTCAGGTGAACCAACCATCTTTAGCTCCTATAGATAGATGACCAAGCCACATTGAGTTGACAAACAACAACAGCATGATCCTGCGCTGCAATGCCAGCGCGCCTGCTACCCGATGTTGGCCACGAACGGCACCAGGCGCTTGTGGTCCCGCTTGCGGCCGAGGGCGCAGGTGTCGAGGACGCGCCCGAGCAGCAGCCGGGTGTTCTGCAGCGCCACGTCCCGCGTGACCAGCCCGGTGTCCACCGGGGCGGCGACGCCCTGGGCCGCCATCATGGACCCGAACCCCGACCCGGCGGCATACTGGAGCGGCCCGCTCCGGGCCTTGAACGACGACTGCGGGAGCAGCATCCTCTCGAGCACCTTCTCACCTGTCATCATCCCGTGGCTGCCACCGTTCTCGCCCGACAGCCCCAGGCTGTCGTCGCTGCCGGCCGTGCCGCCGCCACCACAGCTCCGCAGCAGCGCCTCCAGCACGTTGAGCGCCTCAGCGCACAGCGCGCTCTCAACAAGCTGCGACACCACGTTGTACACCTGGGGGATCTGGGACGGGTCCACGGGGGTCTGCTGCAGCAGCGACTTGAGCATCAGGAGCACCACCCGCTGGTAGTCCAGAGGGCCCCTCTCCAGGAGCCTGAGGAGGTGCCCAAAGGCCAGGGACGAGTGCTTCGGGAACCACTCGGCGCAGATCGGCGGCGAGGCGCGCGCGAAGAGGTCTTCCAGTGAGATGATTTCCCCGTAAGAGTATGCTCTGAAGACCTCGGCTAGGACATGAAGAGATTTCACATGGCACCATCCTGAGATATTGGATGCCACATAGTAGGCCTTCTGATTCTGTTCTTGTAGAGGCGAAGCTGACCCAAGGGAAGATATGTCCTTGGTGAGCTGCAACCCGAGCCATGGGAGCAGACCTGTGATGTGCATCAGCAGCCTTGTCTCGGGATTCCCAAATATAGAATCGCATGTGGGTATCGTGATCCTGGATAGCACCTCGATTGCAGACCCATGGCTGGCGCTAGACATGAGCCCTTTCAGTACCAGTGGCTGCACGCCTTCAAAATCAGGGACCTTGCCGGTCTCAGTGACAGACAGCAGCCTCTCTGAGGTAGTCCTTGACTCCAGCCTGTGGAGGTCGCTTATATACCCATTGACGTCGAATTCATCACGGGGCATGCTGGAGAGCAACACATTTTCAGTTGTCCGGTCACGGAAGGTCAAGCGATCAATCACCCTACAGAACAATTCAAGCACTTGGCAGTAGATGTGGACAAAGTCGGTATGCATCAGCGCAACACAGCCCCAGAAGAGCTGCGGGTAAAGTATCACCTTCTCAGGCTCCATGTTCTCGACCATGACTTGCAGTGTCAGCAAGTTCTCCATTGCAAACCCCAGAACAGACGGGACGGGGTTACCCAAGCATCTGTGGACGCACCTCAGAAGCAATACGCAGCTATCACTCTTGACACTAGGACGTAGAGCACGATATATCTGGTGTGATCGACAGGCCAGGTGACGGGATGTGCACTCCATGGCCCACTTAAGTGCTTCAGCACCCCAAGTCTCACGAAGATCCCCCTGGAAGAAAATTGCACTGACCATGCTTTGTACGAGTGCTGACAAGAGTGAAGTGCTAGGAAGCTCAGTACGGACAAGGGTAGGATCCTCGTTCTCCCACATCAGGCTGCCTCTTTTCGACTGGATGTATTTTATCAAGCTCACCACATGCTGCTTATTCTCCCTTTCACTGCTCTCAACCTCATACAGTTCAAGATGCCGGCCAGCAAGCGAGTAGAGGAGATTCACGAGCAAATCCTGGCAATGCTCAAGCACAATGTCCTCCGAGCTATCCATTGAAACACACGTGACATGGAACAACAGAGGCAAATTTTCACGGAAGTCCTCGTCATTTTCATATGCAATTTCAGCGAGGAGAATCAAAGCTATGTCGGCACGTGAAAGCAAGTGCTGGTGCCCCTGTAATGCAGATTGGAGCTCATTAGCATTAATCCCATGAATTCCACTGCCCCCTTGATGCAGAAATTCATCGTTTGAATTTGGGGTGTCAAAATAGTAATCTCCACTATCCCTGGAAACATGCCGGCTCCTCAGATGACCAGCCGAGCTTCGGACACCCATCAACGGCCCTGACATGTTCATTAACGCTGGAAGGAGCTGGCCTGACCGGCCTGTAGTGGGGTTTGGGATGTTGGTCACCTCCGGGGCCAATGGGCTCAATGGGCCAGACACACTTCGTCCAGTGACTGTCGATGTCCGCCAGCTCAAGTTTCCGCTGACATTCCTGATTGCGCCATCAAGAGAACCACGGACAAGCAGAGGAGACATGTGAGGCTGGCTATCAATTACTGATGATACCTGAGAGGTAGTAGGTCCTTGAGAGAACTCCAACACAACATTTGCAGAAGCATCAAACTTCCCAGGCCTGATTGGTTCCTCGTTCTCTTCAAGCATTCTCTGAGATAACTCACAGACCAAATGATCAATGGTCTGCTGTGGGCAAATTCGAGCTAGGTATAGACTGACACGCTTGGCAACTGAGAAGTAGGTAGCAAATGCACCAGTGATCTCTGCTGATGGATTGGCATCGCAGTCCTCTATCCCTCTGGTAATCAAGAAGTTAAGCACAGGGATAATATTGCGAGTATTGCTTGCAACGGTGCTCCATAGTTTCTCAATCTCATCAGGAAACTGATCACCATGCTTCCATGTCACGTAATAAAGACTTTTCAGCAGTCTCTCACTCCACCCAGACTCCTTTAATCTCACAAAGTTGAGATTTTCTATCCAAGGAGCCATGCATGTGAGGACCTGATGCTGTGCTATAATGTCCACTGCGTCAAGCTGGCGCTGCATAATTTCCTCGCATAGATGCTCACTGAGTTCAGGATGGTCCTTGGCGAGCTTTGAGGACAGCTTGTACTGGAATTGTTGGTAGGAGTCTGGAAGGTTGCCAACAACAGATGCCCGATAATGTCCAATGCCATCAGCATCATCTTCAGCCCATTCACGGAGAGAGAGTGTCTCCAGCATCTGGAGGGCACTGTCACGGATCAGTTTTGTTTGATCGACCACCTTGTAGAGGATCAAGCTCAAAAGTCTCTGGATCTCACATTTTGGAATTTCTTGACGCATGTAAACTTCAGCCAGAACACTGAAATACCCATCCGCTATTGCAGCGTCTGGAGAATAGCACTGCAAAGATCGACAGATGATTGAAACCATCAATTTAACAGTGATGGCAAGCAATGCTGTAAAAACTATAAGCGTAACATCCTAGAAGGAAATAACCAAGAATGACTAAAAAGGGGACAAAAAAGGAAAATGAAATACGAAACAGCTCAAGTTTAGGGTATCCCCTGAATTATCTGAGTTCCTAGACACTTTTATATCTTCCATAGTAGCTTAAATCCTATTGTTCTTTATTCTGCCCCCCTCCCCCCAAAGGGGCAAAATGTCCCTGCTCTTGGTAAATAACTTTCCCTTATTAATTCAACACGGTAGGAGCCACCCTCTCCTGCTGTTTTCTCTTCAGAAAAAATATATGAGTAGCACCATCCTAAGCTGAACATGATTAATCAACAAGATAATGGTCACCAAAGAATTAATAGACCAGTTTGAGAAGAGAACATC